TTACATTAATATGTTTCACATAACTCTTTTTCTACTTATAATACTTAAACATATCTTAATACTTTAACGTCCTAAATGTACCAAAATCAATAAAACTCACTAATTCCCTATATCTCCTTTCCCTCCTTAATCCCTTTTTCCTATTAAAACTCTCATAACTCTTTTATTACATAAGAGTTTTAGCTCTCTTATCCCCGGGCAACCTATTAATGGTTAGAGATCTGCGTATCCGTATGCAAATACTGCAGCACATTAGCCTCCGGCCCTCACGTGTCTCCGGAGTAACTTTCATGTCTCACAATACGAAGAGATATGATGTGTTTTGATGAAGAGTTTAAAAAATTTCGGCAATAATTTCGGCATATATGAAAATTAATTTCTGCACTATATAAGACTAATTTCGGTTGCCTAAATGTCGTAATTGCTTTTTTTATTAAATTCAAGTTATTTTTTTATACCGTCTTGAAGAGAAGCAATAATCTATAACCTTATAAGCATCAAAGTTAAACTTTGGTTTTTATTTAGATCTATTATTAATTTCTATATCAATATTAGAAATAAAGTTGTTTTGTGAATTATAATTTATGTATTGCTTAGAGAATAAATAGAATAATGCACGTAAAAATATATTTCAGCTTATATTTTATTTTGTAAAAAGTGTAACTATCTAAAAATAATTGCTTTAAATAATTATAATCTTTACAAGGTTAAATTTAAATTACAATATTACAAAAAATAAAAAAATTTTAAACAATTTTAATAAAGTAAGAAAAAATTTTATTAAAAATATTTTTTTTTTTTGCTATCTTACTATATAACTAATACCGTATATAAAATATTTAAATAAAATAGCACACAATTAGTATAATTAGCATAACTAGCTTTAAATAATATAAATACAGTAATATATTTTTACAAAAAAAAAATATACAATAAAAAAATAATAATAAGAATTGTAAATTAAGTTTTTATTTATCTAATAAATAATATATAAAATCTATTTAAATAAAACAATAAGGTTATAATTATTTTGTAAAAAAAAAAAGATTTTAGCAATTAGAATAGTTAGATAAAAATAATATTAATATTAGATATATAATACGTAATAATATTACTTATATACTACTATATAAGTGTTATTAACTATTATAAAAATTTTTTTTAAAATATTTCTACTAATAAATGTATACTTCTATTAATAATAATAAACCTGATTAAAGAGTTTAAGAAAATGCAAAGCAAGTATATTATATAGTACCAAAATTAATAAGATAATATACTTTTTTTTTATTTTTAAATAATATATTACCAAAGAATAAGTCAAGTAATAAATAATTAGTTCAAGAAAAAGTAGAGCCAAAGGTAATATACTTTTTATAACTAAAAGACAAGTGATGAAAGTAGTAAATTATTGCCAAGATAAAGTTCAATTACTTTGTTTTTTAAGTTTCTTTTTTTTTGTTCCATTTCAAGAAAGATTGAAAATAATTCACTGAGATCAAGAGAATTGAAGTCAATGTAGAAGGTAGACCAAGATAAAGCTGAGTTTAAAGAAGGAGATGTCACAGTTAAAGCCAAAAGACTTTTATGCCTTTGTTCATGCTTTTGACCTAATAACATTTTGCATTTTGAAAGTTTTTTTTGCTTAAGCTTTTTATTGTACTGTACGTTAGGTTATAACTTACACACTATAGAGCAATCCAACATCAGAATGCACAACATATACAAAAGATTAGATTACCAGATAGTCTAAGTTTAGGTTCACATTTATATTTTTTTCAACAAATTTGTAAATTTTATTATATGTATGTGTAAATAAGAAAATTCTATATCTAATATCTAATATATTACATTTAAAATTGGTTTTCATTAATGTACAATTTTTATATCTTAATTTCTTCAAAAGTATTGCATATTATTAAAATTATCTATAAAGGGACATAATGGCATAAATGTACGTATAAATATAATAAGAGTTCTTATAAATCTTAATTGGGCGATATCTTAAAGTATATTTCATGCATCGTTTAAATAATTATGGTATTTAAAATGTGAATAATTGATCGATAGAATTGGTCAAATTGTCTGAAATTTGCATGTTTAGTATATTAAATATTTCATATGAGTTTATTTCAGAAATTTTATTAGTGGTATCAAAAATCCCAAGCTCATACTGATTATCATAGATATAGGATTGGTTTTCACCAACGAATAAAAAGTTATTTATGATATCATCACTAACTTGTTGGTCTGTTTGAATTGGTAAATCAAAACAGTGAGTTGAGGAAGAGGTTTCTAAATTTAAAAAGTCATTTATATTGGGAGAATTATAGTTGCTAGAAGTTGTTGATAAGTCAGAACTTGGATAAGCATTTTGATTTCTAAGGAAATCGGCCCAATCTGCAAATAAATCAAGGTTAAATATTGGTGAATTCATGTCGATATCACTTAAATCACTAGGTAATTCGGGAGTAACTTTCGATTTATTAAGTTGCTGATGTTTTGTGGGGTTATTAGTAGTTTTTATAGATTTAGGCATTCTAACTTTACGAGTAGAAGGTTTATCGAATGAAACAGTCCTCCATTGGTCTCTTTTCCTTTGAGGTTTTACTTTAGGAAATAATTCATTACGATAATTGAATGCTTCTTTCGCGATTCTCTTGTATTCATTCTTTACCTCTTCAGATTCTTGTTCCCATGATCGAGATGCCATTGAAGAGATTATATTCATTGGTAAATTATAACCACCAGCACGAGCCGTTTCAACAAATTGCTTTCTATAGATAATAAAGGCATTAGGGGTGTTAGGAACACGACCGTCGGGGTGTAAAATAACCAAATCACGAGAATTAATCACTGGTGGGAATGGAAGTTCGATAAGTTGTCGTGAATCATCGATCACCTGACTTTTGATCATGGGATTGTTTCCAGAATTAATGAAGACGCATATATTATTAACTAAGAAACTAGATTGATATTCGTTCATGTTTACAGTAAAATTTTTTGCTAGTTTTTAAACCTTTTTATGATTTAAATTATTTAAATTCTAATTTCTTTACACTGAATTGAATATTGGAATTGTTCGAATCTCGTTGTTATTTATACATTTTTTTAGCTTATTACAATCCATTAACGTTAAACAAGTTAGTTGCTAAATATGGTTATTGTTCGGTTCTCTTGTCTATTTATAACGTGCTATTATTTTGCATGCATTGCGTAAACACACCGAAATTATCTAAATATAACTTACTGTTGGTGTACTTTGAATATTTCAAAAGAAAGAAAAATTATGTCATTATGTAAATACACCGAAAATATGCTGAACATAGTATTGTTACATTTTTAACGTTAGCGTTAGCCATCACGTATTTGATGTGGCTGTGTTTCTTTACAAATGTAAATGTATTCGAGTATTACTAATACTTGGTAGTGGGTTTTGCAACGAGTACAATCTCTAGTCGAGTCACGGCCAGGGCGCTCCCTAAAAGTGCGGGTCGTGTGTCTGCTTCATAGAAGTTCAGTTAAGTGTCACAATAAAGTATATCGCCTAATTTTTTCAAATTTTAAGTGAAGATACCATAAAAAACCCCGAGAACAATCACAATATTTTAAGGACATTTTCAACTTTATATATCTGTTTAGAACATTAAATTTACTTAAAGTTCAGAACAAAATCTAGTAATTAGTTAATCGTCTGATTTTTTTTGGAATTTGAATGAAGATATTCCAGATACAAGTTAATTATATAGATCTATAGGATTAGGAATGTTTTCAATCAGTCGGGATCATATTCAAATTTTCAAAAATTCATTCAACTAATATAGCCATCAAAAAAGTTTCATTTTAATTCTACAAATGTAAGATTCAAATAAAAGTTCTTGGTGTTTAAGATTTGAAAAAAAAAAGTTGGGCAATTAAAAATTACGGATGTCCTATATAATATGTGGCGAATATATTAAAAATTAATGATTACGAAGCTTGTTTCTTATATTACTCGCCTATTCTATAGAACATCCAAAATGAAACAATAATAAAGCTTTTACCGGTATTAAATTTGAGTATTCAAACATTTTAGAATTCAATAAGCCTATAAAATTCGAATATCCTTATGCTTCGAAATTTATTAAGATATACCGTATAACACTGCATACAGTACCCCAGGGAGTACTGTGTGGAGAAAAGGGTACTACACGAACGTTGTTGCTCAATTCCCCGAAAGTTAGTTCCCCACAAACCCATTTCCCCGACACCATATTACCGACATGTCATTTCACCTACAACATATTTTTTCGATAAGACATATATGCGACATTACATGTAATTTCCCCGACAATTAATATTGGCCTGATTTTAGCTTTAGGGTTAGAGTTGGTCCGGTTTAGGGTTAGGGTTGGTTAGAATTATGTGTCAGAAAAGAGTTGTCGTAAATACGTAATGTCGGATATACTGTATGTCTTGTCGAAAAAAAAAAAAAATGCTGTAGGTGAAATAGCATGTTGGCAATATGGTGTCGGGGAGTTGAGTTGACGGGGGAAATAACTTTCTTACTATGAAAGTTTTATCAGTTACATAACATCTGAAAATAGTAAAAATAAATTTTTTGAAAATTGATTAGTATCAGGATACTGTTCAAAAATGTTAAAATTTACAATTGAATAGTACCCTGATACTATTTAAAGGGGATATTCTTCTAGGTGGGTACGGGATGCAGCGCTGTACAGTATTATCATGAAAATTTGAAAAAAAATCGGACTGCGTATATCATGCGCTGCAGACAAATGACCCGTACTTTGAGCGACAGTATCTAGATACCTATATTTTCCTCGTTAATTTTTCAAATTCTAAGAATATAATGGAATAATGTGAACGAAATAATGCATATAATTAAATTTACCTTGTGATTAGATTTAGGGATGTTAAGTCGTCTTATTAACCCGGTCTGAAAGTAGTCTGGTCCTAATCTCACGAAAAAAACAACACTGGTCCAAAACTAGTAATCTGACTAGTCTAAAAATAAATTACATGTCACAGATATTTTATATTAAATTTTGATATATCCTTATCATTATGTCAATATAAGTAGTGACGTATACGTATAATTCGGAAGTTGTTCATTTTAAAATATACGGTAGTTTGTAAAAATGTAATACTGCACTAATATTTCTATCCAGTCAAATAGTAGTAAAATAGTAGTAAAATAGTAGTCAAACAGTATCAAATACTTTTTAAATGTCAAGCTGATCCATAATTAGGATTACTTCTTATATAGATTTCATGTAATTTTTTTCGTATATACCAACATTAGCCTGTACTACTATCATATCGAATATTTAATTACAACATTTAAATGATGAAAATTATGAAAAATTATGAAATTTACCATGTATTCAAAGTTAAACAATTACATTTATCGAAACTTGCACAAAATTATAATTATTATGATTGTTATAATCTGTATTGTCCGTAATTATTACTTACACAACTAGCAACCTTAGTATAAACTGAATATAACAAGAGCTTGTAAACTTTTCATTAAACTTATTAAACTCGTAACTTATTTTATTTATTAAATTAACGAACAGAAATATTGGATATTTTATCCAACCTATACAGTATAAACACAAGAAATTTATAAGAACTTAAAACGTTTTTTTACTAAGAGAATATTAAACGAATTTTTGGCCTAATAAGCATCCTTTAGTCATATAAAAGCATATGTCCAGGTCATACCACGTGGAGGTTGATGCTAATGATGACCCAAAAAAAATAGAAGTACAGTATTATACTGTACTTATACAGAAAAAATCGTTCACAGTAGATAGTTAACGATTTTCTGAATTTAAAGTTTTCAGTTTAAGGTCTTGATGGACACAAATCAAACAAGTAGTTTTCAGTTTAAAGTCTTGATGGACATAAAATACAATCATACTAAAATTTGGGTGGGTAGACTAACATAAACTCTAAATATTTAGCAATAATAATAAAATATTGCAAAATATTAAGAGCCTAAGGCGTTGCATGCAAAAAGTGCAAATAAAAATGCTCTATGCAACAACGCTAATAGCCTACCCGGCAAACACAGCCCACACCGCTTAAAGTTAAAAAACAAAATAAAAAGTTTTTTTTTTAATTTTTTTAATAGTGAAAGATACAGTACAGAATAAAGGTATAAAAAAAACAAACAAACAAATAGGATTATATATTGTAAATCGGATTTCAAGATCAGGTGTAACGTAGCACGATCAGAAAAATTCAAAACAAACGTGTTTTGCCAAAAATCGCCTATAACTCAAAAATCTGCATAGGAAACCTTGCGAGATTTTACTGATAGTCCTGATAACACCTGATCTTGGCCCTAACCCTAACTTTAACGAACTTTTAAAATTTTTATCATTAATATTTTAGCCAATCATATGCAATCCCCCCTCTGGATTTTGTCTTTGTCGTCGCGCTTTTTTACTGTAGTACTGGTTTTCATCACGATGAAACTAGCTCAATCGATAATGATAACCCGTCGTCGCTTCAATGAATCGCAAAAGTTATTTGCTATCACTTTGTGTGCTTTTTTTTTCTCAGCAGCGTTGGTTTCTTGTGGAAACAATGTGAAAAACAGACATATTAAAGGAACGCCACTTTTTATAAATGATACCAGAATTTTTTCACGTGAAAAATTGACAGTTTTATTACAGAAGTAATTTCCCCGACACTAGAACTTTATCTACCGAGGTGGGCAGGGTTTTTATAATAACACAAAAAGTCTGAAAGAAATTGTCAGAAATATTTAATATTACGTGATAGTATATTTTGTAGATATATATAACGTTAATAATTCAAGGCATAATTGCTTTTAACATTATCAGCATATGTTATTAATAAAATTAAACCTTTTAAATTACTCAGTACGATCATATATATAACCATGAAGATAAATGAGAATTTGTTAAATTACATTGTCAAGATTATTCATCCGGCATAATCAACTATCTCCAGTATTATTTTCGTGTTTCACAAAACTGAAGCTTTATTGCAGTATTCATTCTGGTAAGAATATAATTTATAATTTCAATTCATTTTACTTCTCGACCATCGATACACTTATTTATTTATTCATTAAATAAATAATAATGACTTCTTTTCTTGTTCGGCTTCATTAGATCGAATTATTAAGTGTAGTTCTGCAATACTTAATTTACTTAACGAATAATAAAGTCTGGAATGACTTTCCTAGCATTTGGTAATGGGTCGCCGGATCTTTTTAGCACTTTTAGCGCGATGACTCACGATTCTAGTTCTTTAGCTGGCGGTGAACTTATCGGTGTCGCAAATTTTATAATGTCTGTAGTCGCCGGTTCCATGGCAGTTGTAACACCATTTCGTTTTACAAAAGTTCCATTCCGTGATCTCTTTTTCT